GGCCCCCACAGACCCCTCCGGACCCTCAGCCCCCGCCACAGACCCTCCCCCAGATCCCACCCCTCTCCAGCCCCCACAAAGACCCTCCTAAACCCCCCCAAAGCCCCCCCACCATCGCTGCCGCTGCCGCCGCCACCGAAGGACCCTCCGGGCCAGGCCCCGCCGCGGCCGGAAGCGAGGGGCGTTCCCGACTTCCGCTTCCGGCTGAGGGCGCGCCCGCACCCAACATGGCGGTACCCGTGGAAGGCAATGGCGGAGGCCATAGGGGGCAGCCATGTTGGGGGAAGTGTCACCTTCGCCCCCCTCCTCCCCGCGGGGCCCCAAAGAGACACGTGAGAGGTGACGGTGATGGGGATGACGTTTATTGGGGACATGGGGGCATTGGGGACATGGGGGGAAATGGGGACATAGGGACATCGAGACACATGGAGGGACATGGAGAGACACGGCAGGGGATGTTGGGGACATTGTGGACACAGGGATGGGGGGGGACATGGAAGAACATCGGGATATGGGGGACATGGAGGGGGACAATGAGGGACAATGAGGGATTGAGGGGACACGAGGACATGGGGGGACACAGGTGACAGGTGACATGCAGCTGTCACAGGTGTCCCACAGGTCACACAGGTGCCTCAGCTGACGTGCAGGTAACACAGGTGCCACACAGGTGCCTCACAGGTGACACAGGTGACACACAGCTGCCACACAGGTGCCCAGGTGTCCTGCAGGTCCCTCCTGTCTCCTATCACTCTGGAGCCTCCCAGGGCAGCTGCAGCTGCTGCAGCTCCTCTGCCAGCCTGGGGGGTGGGGCCAGGAGTGGGCGTGGCCCCAGGGGGCCCAGGTGTCACGACCACACCTGCCTAAAACACCTGTCCCAGGTGGGGTCACACCCCTGTCCCAGGTGAGGTCACACACCTGTCCCGTCGCTGCAGGTCCAGCTCCCGCCGGCCCAGCTCCACCTCCAGCTGCTGCCGCGCCCCCTCCTGCTCCTGCTCCACCAATTGCCTGCAGGGCGGGGGGCAGGTGTGGGGGCGGGGCCAAGTGTGGGGGCGGGGCCAGGTGTGGGGGCAAAACCAGGTGTGGGGGTGGGGCTAGGGGTGGGGCTGGGCACTCACACAGCCTCGAGGGCTTCTGGGCCCAGCTGCTCCTCGAGCTCCATCAGGCACCGCTCTGTGGGGGCACAGGGGGGTTGGGTCAGCCTCAGGGGTCTGGGGGGCTCAGCAGTCCGGAGGGTCACTCAGGTGTCGGGGGCTCACCCAGGCTCAGCAGCTTCTCCCTTGTTCTCTCCAGTCGCACCAGCTCAGCCTCCAGGTGGGCTGGGGCCTGCGGGGGGGGCACAGGTGTGTGTGGGGGGCACAGGTGTGTGTGGCCCCCCAGGGGTGTGTGTGACCCTCCAGGGGTGTGTGGCCCCCCAGGGGTGTGTGTGGCCCCTCAGGTGTGGGGGTGACCCCAGGCCTCACGTGCATGTTGCGCAGGCGCTTGTGCTCGTCTATGATGGCGTCGAGCTCCTGCCAGAACTCCCACCTGAGGGGGGTGACACACAGGGGTTACACAGGGATCATGTGACCTGTGTAGATCACCTGGCACAGCCGCCAGCCCACCTGTGTCCCTGCAGTCCCACTTGTGTCCCCCAAACCCAACTGTGTCCCCAGACCCACCTGTGTCCCCCAAGGCCTCACCTGTGTCACTCTTACACCCATCTGTGTCCCCCCACACCCACCTGTGTACCCACACCCACCTGTGTCCCCCAAGGTCCCACTTGTGTCCCTACAGCCCCACCTGTGTCCCTACAGCCCCCCTGTGTCCCCAGACCCACCTGTGTTTCCAGCCTCACCTGTGTCCCCCACACTCACCTGTGTTCCCGGCGCAGGTGCCGGAGCTGCTCCCGCTGTTCCCCTGCCCCCTCCAGGCCCTGCTGCTGCTCCAGGCAGAGCCCCCGGCGCCTGTGGGGGCACCAGGTGTGTTCTGGGGGGTCAGAGGTCCCGTGGGCAAAGGTGGGGTTGGGAGGGTGGTTCATGAGTGTCCAGGTCCTCCCACTCACCTCTGACCTTCGGCCTCCACCTGCTTCCCGTGCAGCCGCGCCGCCCGCAGAGAGTCTGGGGGGGCCGGGGGGCAAAGGTGTCAGGGGGTGTCAGGGGAACAGGGGGAATCTTGGGGGGGTCAAGGGATCAGGGAGGGTCAGGGGGATCACAGGGGTTGAAGGGTCTGGGGAGGTCAGGGATTTTGCAGGCATCAGGGGGAGAATTAAGGTGGGGTTTGGGGGGGGTCAGGGAGGATCAGGGGAGCATTAGGGGGGGCCCCAGAGACCTGCCCCCACCCCAAAGGCCCCAAGCCCCCTTGGCCTCACCCTGCACCTGCTGCCAGAGCCCTTCCAGTGCTTCCTCGTGTTGCTCCACTGTGGGGAGGGGGGGGTGGGTCAGCTGGGACCAGGGACCCCCTCCTCAGCCCTCTGTGTCCCCCCAGAGCCCTCAGTGACACCTTCAGGCCCCTAAGTGACCCTCTCAGCGTCCTCCCCAGACCCTCAGTGACCCCTCAGACCCCTCAGTGTCCCCCTCTGTGTGACTCACACTGCTCCATGTGCTGGCGCAGTCCCTCACTGTGGCCTTGTGCCTCCTCCAACTCCTTCTCCGTGGCCTGACGGGCTGTGGGACATGGTGGGATGGACAGAGGACACGTGGGACATGGGGGGACATGGGGGGACACAGGGACGTGGTGCTCCCCCCACTCACCGCTCTGCAGGCTGTGGATCCGTCTCAGCAGCATCTCGAGGCGTGGGACCCCCCCAGGGGGATCTGGGGGGGGAACTGGGCGAGACACAGGGACAACATATCCCTCAGGGACGCTCTGGGACCCCCTGTCCCTGGGGCGGGGGGACACGGGGACACACGGGGGTCTCGGGGGGTCCCGGCCACAGAGCCCCTCACTGCGCGGGTCCGTGTCCATCGCTGCAGCCTGGGGGGACATCGGGGGACACGGGGGGACATTGGAGGACATGGGGCGACATTGAGGGAACACAGGGGGACACGGGGGGACATGGAGGGACATGGGGAGACAATGGGAATGTGAAGGGACACAGGGGGACACAGGGACATGGAGGGAACACGGAGGAAGCCGGGGGCACATAGGGGGACACAAGAACATGAAGGGGACATTGGGGAACACGGGGAGCTATGGGGGGGCCATGGTAGGGCCATGGGATGATGGCAGTGGGCACTGGGCTGTCCCTTTCTGTCCCCCTCTTTGTCCCCCCTTGCCCACCCTCAGCCCCATTTTCTGCCACGCTTCACCATTTCTGCCCCTCCTCCCTCCCTCTGCTCTCCCTTTTCCCTCTTTTCTCTCGGTTCTCCTCATTTCTGTCACCTCTTTCCTCCAGTTCTTGCCTCCTCTGCCCCTTCTGTCTCTGTCTCCCCTATCTCTCTCCAGTTCTGTTCCCTATTATCTCCATTTTCTGTCATCTCCCTCCTCTTTCTAATACCTTTTCACCCCTTTTGTCTCTTCTGTCCCTCCAGTGTCTCTTTCCGTCCCCCCTCTCACCTTCTGCAGCTTTTTCAGCTCCTCACCTCCCTTCCCCTCACGTTTTCCCGCCTTTTTTTTTGGTCACATTTTCCCGCCTTTCCCCCTCACATTTTCCCGCCTTTTTCCCCATCATGTTTTCCCCACGTTTTCCCGCCTTTTCTCCTCACATTTTCCCCTTTTCCCCTCACATTGTCCTACCTTTTCCCCTCATGTTTTCCCACCTTTTTCCCCTCATGTTTTCCCACCTTTTTCCCCTCACATTTTCCCACCTTTTCTCCTCACATTTTTCCCTTCCCCCTCACATTGTCCTACCTTTTCCCCTCATGTTTTCCCACCTTTTTCCCCTCACATTTTCCTGCCTTTTCCCTCATGTTTTCCTACCTTTTTT